GCCACAGAACAGTTATTAACCACTTTAAGTTGCACGTTAAATTTCAGGTTTACCCAGACTTGAAGCTTGGATACCTTAGGAACTCTGTAAATCCAACAAAAAGTCATGGCTTAATGCTGCATCTCAACACCTTGCCCGATCTCGAACGTCACGGGGCCACAATGAGCGAATTTTTGTGTAAAACTAATGTTGGTACTTTAATATGAACCAGCGATCGCAATGAGTGGCCTCAGACGGGAAGTTAAGGACTAATGCCCAGTCAGATCCTTGTAGGAAAAAGGTCATGCTTTAGTGGAGCTACGAGGACCTAATTACACTGAAAATTGCGTTTTACAAACCAGATAGTTGACCGGCGCCATTTGGCCCGGTAGCATCGAATCAACTGGGCTATTCAAAAGACGAAGTTAGACCATCCTCTTCTATGGCAAAACGAGCCTATGCACCGCAAACATGGTCAAAGCTGTTCTTCGGGACTTCAAATATTAGGTTCTGTTATACTCTGTATATTTTTCGGACGGATTTTCACATTTTTCACTTACTAGGCAATAAGGACAATTATTTTCGAGGCCTTACCTTTGACACGAATCAACGACTTAGAACATTTGGAAACTTTTGTGGGACAGAGCCCGCTACTTTCTCACCAGATGGAGCGCATCATTTAGTGGAAGTATAGGAGATAACATAATCTTTAACAGAAAAAACCTAATGTCTTTAAACGGGCACTATTTTCAATCATTGTTGAAGCAAGTGGTTACATATATACACCTAAGCTCTCTAGTTTCGGCTTTGCTGCTACGTTGAACAGAAATAGACGTGGTCTATTGTCCGATATGTATTGTTGCAATATGAAACAGCCCAGGTCTCGAAGTGATTTTATCTACGAGGTTTGCCCACACATCCTCGCACAAAGAATACAAATTGTATGATTCATGGTAGTTTTGGTCCGGCCGCTGTAACTTTTCATTTTCACATATAATCAATACGCGCTGCCTGCCTCGGCGTTACCCTTACTGTGTGCTTTAGTGCAAGCGGCGATCACCACTTTAGATAATGTCATAAACGTCAAGGTCATAAATTTTCACATGATCGGCAAGCCTGTTCCACTCCACTGTTTACGTTTGTCCCATCATTCTAATAGTAATAAAAATAATTACTTAATCTGAATAGTCAAGTCAGAAAAGCTGCTTTTCTCTAAGGATTACTGAATCAGGAATTGAAGTTTAGCAACAGGAAGAAAATTATTGAATCTAGACATTTGGGCAGTTAACTTCAAGAACCTGAATATAACGTTTTGCATCTGTCTACTCGTGGCAGATCAGAAAATTCCCGTAAAACGACGGACCACAGATATCCACATTGTACTTGTGTTTTCATGCCTTTATAATAAAGTTCTACTATCATGATTATATAGCCTATATTGGTGAATCACACTAATTATAAAATAGTGAAAAATGAAACCTTTGATTAATTAAAACAGTCCGGTTACTGTCGTATTTTCTCCGTATCATTATAGGTGGTACATTATCTAAAAAGTGGTATTCTTGGCTAAATCTTCTAGCTAAATAATATATATCAGACGCAGATGTCTTCCTATAAGTTAAGTTGTTATCAAAGTTTTTACCAAAAAGACGAGAAGTCGTATTCCTGCTCCAGCTCTCCATTAATAGAGCGTCAGTTTTTCAACCCAATCTCCCACAAAGTAAGACTCACAGCAAGCATCCCCTGGAACCCATTTATCTAGAGTACGCCTCAGCTGGACGCATTCGGCCCTGGGTGTTGTGCCAATGATAAAAAAAAAAAATGTATTATACGCCTCTTAGCATATTGTCTAACATTATGGGGCGTTATGTGACCGGGGTCTTTTTAGAAGTGCGGATAGCTTGACCCCTTGCAGTAGTAGTTACGGTAATGGTTTGGAATTGAATGATTGCTAACCATTTATATGTATAAACGTACATTATTAATCCAAACATATTAGATTTAAATGTACTTACTTACACAGTTCTGTGGGCAATAAAAACCATGGTTCTATAGTATTAAAGATAAAAATTATGGTGTACATAGGATGTATATTCTTGATGGTGCGCTTAAACTGGGAACAAACCTTAGCGGATAGTAATGGGCATGCCTTCCAGTACCAGACGAAAGCAAACAGCAACTGGCATCAAAACGTAAATGAGAATAGTCGTACTTGAAAATCTCGTCACGCTCAATAAACCCCCTGTTGAGACTAAAGCCTTCCTAGTTTGTTCAAAAGTTCAGTTTTCGTGCGACTTTCGGGATTTCTGTGAGCCAGACCAAAAGGTATTTAATTGAGTTTAGGTTTCGGGGGTTCAGGTTTAAAAATATATAAGGTATATAACGAAATGGCTCAGAAAGTCGTCTTCAACACCGCTAGCATTTTGATACAGAGGTTAAGAGCCGTCTTAAAGACGAAGACATCACTTCGCAATTTGATCATTGAAATTAGCTCAATAGGTTTAACGAAAGACATTTTGGGTTTTTGCATCTTCTTGGCTCTTCTAAATTATTGAGACTTTTGGCCTGTTGTATTTAATTCAATAGAAACGTAATATATTTAAGCGAGCTTATTTTTACCAGAGTCTCGATCCAAACGCACTGCCCATCTACAAAGCTAGCAGTCGATTTTCAATGCCTACGTAACAGATCTCCTTGCAAATTGGATTCTCCGTTCATAGAAAAAGTTATAACGCGCATTAAGTTACTTTCATACAATAAACTTGGTTTTATTTCTGATTCACTTTTTCATACAGCATATGACTCGTTCTGTTGTTTATTTCATAGCTATATTATAATGCATCGTAAACGATTGTTTTTTTTTTTTATATTTACCGTTACACGTATGTGTGTGTGTGTATATATATTTCAAATCGAGCTAATCATCAATATCATCGCTAGCATGGTTATTTTCATTATTATTATTATTATATTAGTTTCACACCTAGAATTAATATATATATGTGCTACTATCATTACGTCTGTCTTAATTTACCTCCCTGAGCATGTATTTGGGGGGTGGCACAGACCAAATAACAGCGTCGAGCCTGTAGAACATACAATAGTTGTTATTGTGGTGGGTTATTGTGTTTTTTGTTGCTGTTGTTTGTTGGATGCTAGCTTCATCAAAGCCATTGTTTAGATAATGCAGACACAGAAGTTTTACTATCACCTAATTGTTGCCACTGTAATTAAACGTAACTACTAGGGGGGCTGGTTCGCGGTCAGCTGTTATCAGTATACGGGTGAGTAACAGGCGCTTTATTAACTATTAACAGATTGCCTTTCCTCCACGAGTCTGGCCTTCGTTCTTATCTACGAGATCTACATCTCACGATTCCGCCATTCCAGTTCGGTCGGGTTGTTGACCACCCTTTCATAACTATATGTATCGTCCGTTTCTCTCTGGCCATAACGAGACCAGCAGGCTTCCGAGTGAGCTTAGCGGGTAGCGATACAAAATGGGTTTGTGGTACAGCTTCAGTTATCGGTAACGGGCAAAACCGCAGCTTTAACGGCCAGTGGTTGCTTGCTCTTTCGGTTGCCGAATTGGGCTGAATGGTATCAGGAATTTGCCCCAACAGCAGAAAATTGTGACAATGACTGGGTAGCGACCAGATGCTCGTTCGACACACCATCGAAAGTGAGGAACTATACAGCAGCTCCGTCATATTTTCCGTGGACACTATCCAACCTCCCCTCCACCCGATGCTCTCGTACTCGTTTCGTTTTCTTCGTTGTACTCCTTCTTCCAGTTGCGGCCGGCTTTTTCCCATCTCGGATCCCATTGGGTACATCACAACTGTGGTGTATCTGGCGGCGTTAGCGATAAAACACTCCATCAGGTTTTCTCCTAGCACACCAAGTAGCGCGGTTATACGTGTGCAGCTAAATATTCACATTAGCTAATTCTATGCATGGATTTATATAAACTTTGATATGTGTGTAAATTGAGTAGACGGACGCGACATGTAGAACTTTATTTCCTACTTGTGCCTTTGTGTGCTTATCGACTTACAGATAGTATTCTAGAATAGTATATATATATATATAGGTTTATAGAATACCATACGCAACCATCATTCTCGAGAGACTTAACTGTTTAGCGCGCCGAACTCTAGCAGCAGCGGTGGTGCTAGAGCGACGATGTTAATGTGTTTTTTACATTGGCACTATTTACCTCTCGCATGTGTCCGACACGCACATATATGTGTATGTGTTGAAAGAAATAGTACAAATTACTCTTTGTTTGTGGTGTCGTTGTTACCCTGCCTCGGCGTACATAGCGCCGTCCCGTGCGAGCTGTGCTGACTTTATCTCTGTTTCTCTATGCGTATTATAACGAGTGTTCAAGAGAGCTCGTCTAATGACGATTCTAAGGAATGACATTATCTAAAACCGGTATCGGAAATAAACAGACCCGACTATCTAGTAATGGCACGCCGTTCCAGAACTATCAAGGGTGTCTTCATCAACTTCGAATTGCCAACACAATGTAAACATTTCGATTTAACTTCGATTTCGTTGAGCTCAAACAGAAAAAAACGCTTAACTCAAATTCAAAATGTCAGCGATCTATTACAAAAAGGCTACGTGTTTTCAAAAAATTAGCGGACTTGAAGACTTCCTCCTTACTAATTAATGATTATGCATGGTTGTTTTTCATCGTTGAATTTATAAACGTCAAAAAACTTGGTAAAACTTTTCTCCGTTCGTTTGCATTATCATTGGCTTACTACCTAATGTTCTAATCGTAATGCCTAGAAAGAAAAACGTCTCTGAGGAAACTGAAATTTGTTATCAATCCTAGCTACATGTGCATAGAAATTGATGTTACGTGTATTTGTAAATAAACCTTCATCATGCAATAGTTTCGTAAATTTCAGACTGCCAGCTTAAACCTTATTTCTTCGGGAAGAATCTATTTGAATATTTGCCGTATTTGTGTGTTCTGGAAACGTTTGATAGGAGCACAAAGGCCATGAAACGTTACTACTTGTAGAAAATTCATTATTTCGTAACTATAAGATTTGCGCGATAGACACGGGCAGATTTGCTGTTTTCAAAGGCATTGGTAAGGGGGGATTACGCAGTTATATAGCGAGATAGATGTTATTCGCTTACGTTTTTTCAAGGTTCGCTTAATGCGCATTTGCTTTAAAATGTCTCTGAAGCTCGCGTCTCATTCATTCCTCATGTCATTTATGATATTGGCTTCTGATTGAGGCTACCGTACATACCCTTGACACTTTCAATGGATATATTGATTCTGTATCTCTTTACGCACTTAACGTAACGTTTATAAATAGTAACGATCTTTATCTAACGATACACACATACATATATATATATATATATATATATTTACACTTAAGGTTGTCATCGCATAGAGCCACTGTGTATGAATTTTTACTCACACCCAACGTCAACACAAGGGCTATATATATATATATATATATGTATGTATAGCAATAGATACGATCACCGCTCTAATACGATGCTTCAGCGACGCCCATTGTTTGTATGGTGTGTCAGCTTTATCTCTGTATGTACATCACAAGCTGGATAATCTTCTACAATTTGTATGGATACTAACCCGAACCATCGATTGCAGTCCGAGTATAGGAAGCTACCATCTAAAACACTGATATATGTATTTCATTGGAACTATACGTAGGCTTCAGCTACGTGTTTACTTGTAGGACAAAGCTGTTCGGGTATACGATCGTTACGTATTAATAAGACAGTGACACTATTTGATCTGACTGGTACGAAATAAGCCAATGATCTTAACGGTCAGGAATACTCATAGGGTACGATTGGGTAGCGAACAAAACTCAGACAATATTATATACATCATCTTCGAAAAAAGAAGAAAAACTGTCGAAACGGCTTCAATATTGTCTAGGTTGCGCAGGTTTATCACAAGGTTGCCTCTAGGATACTCTTTTGTCGGACGATGGGCCAAGAGGATCGTGATTTAATGCAGGTCATATTGACGGCGTACGCGTTACTGGCACAGCGGATTCAGTTACTAACTGATTTCAACTGCTTATTGTCGCATGTAATATGGCCAGTAGAGAATATTAAACACAATAAAACAGGCGGGAAAACCAATTCGGCTTGCTCGATCGATTCGTTTAGCCTGAAGCTTGGAATCCCACTGCCGTGACCTCGCAATTACCGATTCTGTACCTCCACCTTTGGCAGCAGCTTGTACGAGCTGAAAACAAATGAATTATCATATTTTAATTATCACCTCGTACCATTTGTAATAGGGATTTTACATGAAAAACCTCAATTTCGACTCAGAAGCACGCTTCGCGCGGCCGCAAAACGCGGATGACGACAAACTGCAGGTAATCTCGTGTGGAAATTCGGCCATATCTACGCCAAGAACTTTCTGCACAGATACAAGTTTGTCATATTATTGTCACAAATAGCCCGCACGCGAAACTATCAAATGTAATAGGGTTGACCCCCGCATTGTTAAAGTAACAAGAAAATGTCGCACAACATTTTGCACCGGCGGCCTAAACGGGAACTTTTACAATAACCGTAAACTAAACCTAAAATGTTGATAATTCTTAAAATTGGGTTGGTGCTGAAGAAAGCGCTCTATCAGAAGTCGTGGAGACAATAGCAACAACAAATTAATGCAAATTTGTACTCAGTTCGTTGGACTGAATTAAGGACTAGGCAATATTCCGAGCCGAAATTCATAAGGACCTGGCCCCCCATTCTGATTTTGAAGCGGAGCCTTAAATGATTGGTCGTGGAGAAATCCTGCCAATTATGATAGTCGCAAAGTTACCTACGACTGAGTGAATATTGCTTGCCGGTTTTGCCACTTTGTCGGAGAGAGTGCTTTTATAGACTTCAGTATCGCTTGCCGCCACGAGGTTATTTGAGCTGATAATTTACGTGACGAAAAATGATTCGAACTATCCGAGAGCTCAACTTCCATTCAGCGCGAGGCTAAACACTTTGAATTTCGTTTCGTATCGAGCCGTGTTTATCAAGCATACCTTATTAAAATGGTAGGACTCGGTAGCTAGCTAGAACAAACGTGTACACTGTAAACGCTTCACAGCCAACAAAAGACTATTAATATATACACTCACCATAGCGCCTCCGTTGCTGTCGTTCTGAAAGTATTCGATAAGATAACAATTAGAAGAGCTTCACTTATTTTCTAAACGTATTCGCGGCAAATTTGAGACCGTTAGCTCTTTTAACGATAGTGAACCAGCAATTTCAATCAATGTTCGTGTCATATATGAGCGTGCTACCTTCCAGGTTCGGTAGGCTCGTGATATTTTTTTAGCCATTGCCTAGATTTCCTTTCGACACGCTTTCATTGCAGCAATGCTTTTCAGCTTAGATTTTATTTAGCAAACTGAAGCCCAACTCCCAACTTGGGGCGATCAATTTCGGGGCTCATTTCGGGCAAACACTGATAGTGAATTACAGGCTTTTTGCCGACGTTGAGGTCAAAAGTTCATCGATAAGGCCAACAAACCCACGCAACTGATCGAACTTGATAGTCGCTCATATCTCAATGCAACGCAACAAGAGTGACCAATGTAACCTCGACAATGTATGATCGCAAACTGGGTCCTAAAGTTTTTTTTCATTACCTTGTGCACATAGAATAGAAATTTGTAGCGATGTCTTAATATTGATCACTTAAATAGAAATTAGTGAACTAGGCCGTAGAGATTTTGATAGGTCTTCTAGGGCCAAATGGAAAGCTTTTAACATCAATATTGTCGTTGAAGGCTCATTTTCCATAGCACCGAAGGCCGACTATCAAAGATATTTGCATATCTCGAATAGAAAGAAAACGTTACAACGAGCCCGTATTTGCGAGAAGGGGGCTTCGTAGTTATAATTATTCGTGTAGATGGACGTTGGCCGTTGGATAGTAATCTGGTGCGTGTATAGTACGTGCAGAAGGACAAGTGAACGGATTCATTCATCTATGATTTTCAAGTCGAGGTTACGCAAAGTCTACAATGTTCGTGCTGTTTTATTCTCGTTCGAGCCAGTCGGATGTGCCTTATACACATACAGGCTATATATACACGTAAATTTATGAGGTTGGTTACCATGCAGCCTCATAGACCTGATGGAAAAATTTCGAAAACCACGGAGACCCACCACGGCTAGACCTTTAAGTAGAGACAGGTCCTTGGTGCTATAGCAAAGAGGTCATTCGAGTGAAGCGTTACTTTATAAACGCTATAAAAAATGTCAAAGCTTGACTCGTTCCCCAAAATAGACTTACATTATGTAAAACAATACAGTGGCTTACTGGATTGTGCCGCCAGAGGTAGTTGACCACAGTGAACTCGAGCAGAGCGGAAAATACGAACGAAGTGCACGTGCCCATCCAGACGTCCATCGCTTTTACATACGATACGGGCGGGAGATTCGACTGGATCCCTGCTCCCTGGAGAAATAGCTGAAATTAGTTTTAATAATCGACAAAATGCCGTAGCCAATAACAGTATCTAAATAACCCGAGCGCAGATATTGTTCGCGCCCGGAACCACGCGAGACCGACAGTGTCGACTCGTTGCGCAACGTGTAGCTTATACGTTCCCTATACGTCTCTATAATACTATCATATAAATATTACCTTCAGAGTAAACGGATAGAATTGATGAGTGCTAGCTTGGGACGGCGTTCGGATGAGTGTGACGCAAGAATAGGATCGATTACTTGGACATAAGCTAAAATGTATATCAGTTCCTATGGCTGTCCATCAATACATACACAAACAAATCGCCATTCAGTTACTTTAACGGAACGATAACTGGTGTTCATATTGCTTTTACAGTTACTATTGATCATACGGTTGGTGTTTCGGCCGCAAAATTCTACTGAGTGGGTATCATTTGTAGAGAATATATATTGGGGAGTAAATGGACCAGATGACGTAAATGATTTGTAAGAAATAGGATACAGGAATACTGACTACATATACACGGAATGCTGTTATTTAATTCGTGACTTGGTAAAGTGGCGTAACCTCTGTGATGTTTGCAAGGCATAGAACTCTGCTAGATATTATGCTATTTCACTATATGCTGACACAAGTCAAGTTTATGGCGGCATCGCAAGGTGAGGCGCGGTTCAGGAACGTAACGGCTGTAATAATATGAATCATCTTACGGTAGATGTCTACGGCGCATATCCACATACATTCGTAAGTTAACGCTGGAGTAGTTGGCCATTCAGCAGTAGAGACGGAAAAGGAAGTATCGTTCGAAGTTTTTTCTAGCCGAAAAAAATTCAACTCTATTACGATAATATAGCTTTGCCAGGTCCGTACCACTTGTGCTAAAAGACGTTTGGGCTTGTGATAATGTCTCGTCGTAACGAAATCCAGTAGAATAATTCGGGTGATCAGAGATCTGATTCCACTCTGTGAGACAGCTAAGCTTACACCTAAAAAGCTGAGATTGAACTTGAAACGCGGGGCATGACCAGAACAAGCAGTCTATTTCTGATGGGAAAGCTCGGTAGTACTAGTTCGACAGGTAGCTGGCGACCGAGTACTCGGCTCCACTGAATTCCCTAAATTGAAAGAAGGCCTTTGCTTTAAAAAGCAAAGCCGACTTGACCAAGATTATGGGACTGTTTTGCAGTCCTTATACTCACCTATGCGACTTCTCGGAGAAGACCCCGATCTTCGAAAATTCTAGCAACAACGTTCAGGAAGGAAAACTACTTTTGGTTTTTGCAATGATTTCAATTACGTTGTGGTACATGGTACTTTTCTTTCGGATCTGACGGCGGCCTAGTAGCCGTTGCCTAGGAAACTGGCGTGGAGTAACGTGACTTGCCAATTGGGAAGAATATATCAATATATTCTTATGTTTCGATGTTTTGCTATCTCGAGTGTACTGTAGTATCGTCGTGCGGGTGTATTTCTTCAAGACTCATTCATTAGTTTTCTTTTTTTTTTTTTTTTTTTTATGGGAGTGGCAATACATCAGTTGTTGTGTTTAGAACTCTTTATTCATATGGCTAAAGTGTGAAAACACTGAAGACATATTCGCTTGAGACTCGGATGAAGCAAGCAAACTTTACTTCACGGTTTCTTTTGCACTTAAGAAGCTTTCATTTAGCAAAGCTTGGCATGTCCAAAGCGATCGCTAGAAAAAAAAAAACTATAAATAGAGTAATTATAGCTTAGCGTGTGCTAGCTTTCAACTTCTGTGAGGACACGTTCCGAGATCACCACATATCGACCACCGAGAGCAAGAACGCCATGAATTTTTTTCTGCCTTTCTAATCTTTGACAGACAAAACGTCTGACCGAGTTGTAGATGGACAACGGCAGACGAAGAAGTTTATTAAAGTATTCAAATACAATCTTAAATGGAGAATTGTTGATCGTGACGTTTAATTGTCTACCAGCGCGGAGCTAAGTTCGGTCACTTAAACGTAAGCTAGGTCCACGAGTATTTCGGAACTGAACAAACCTTCGACGATATGGTTAACAACGTGGTGACTCCTAGCGTAACTCTGGCAGGAATAGCATCGACATCAAGCCAGAACGACACCCAAGAAATGACGACAATCAGGATCGTTGGCAGATACGACTGCACCATATGATAGCCCAAAGAACGCTGCAGGTAGAATTCAGCCTTAAGGCAGCTGTACTCGCCTGTGAAGAGACAATAGTTGCGAGTTTACACCTCATTTAGCTTCATTTCAATCAAACGCTCGCTTAGAGTTTGTCGATAGACTAGAAGCTTTTTTCTATCGCTAGAGTAAGAGTATCGCCGAGGACTCAAATATCAAATGTCCCTCATTAAAACCTGCACAGCAGCACATGCTAAAGAATGTGGCTTTTAACTTGAGAACTTAGCTATAAATTATGTTGCTATTATTATTATATAAATCTAAATTTAAAGTAAATCCTGTTTTTTCCTGTATGTCAAACATAGCCCGCGTAAAATCATTGATTAGGTCTGATATTTGTACAGGTTGTGGCATTTGTTTAGGACGACTAGTTAAGTACTTTTAAAAGACAATCCAGTTTATATTAAACATGTTGAACGCGTTTTTCCGTGGACTTCTATTTGTTTTTTCAGGTTGTACAAAGTAAGCACAAATAGGATTTTTCATTACGACTGGACCTGTTATAATCGAAAGGAAACATTTAGCTAAAATTTATAATGAAAATGAACGAAGGATTCTGTGACATGTCATAATTACGTCGTTCCACTTAATAACAGGGCGATGGTAATCTAATCAGACCTCGGCGCCCGAGCTAGAATTTAGTTGAGACTCCCTATGTTAAGTTAACTCTCTATGCCAGAGCGGAGGTGAACTTCGCATATACAGATGAATGGAAATTTATAAGGGTGTATATTCAAGATAATTCTGAAGGCAAATATGAGATCTTTGCAGGTGGCTGTATGCCCGTAGTGTGGCCGTGTAATTTCAGTGGCGGTATGGAACAATCGAATCAGAATAGGCTAACTAAGACGTTTTAATAAATAAGGAACGGGCCTATTACGACGAAGAAGTATCTGGGGCAGGATAATAGTATAACTTAGGGTCGCTAAGCGATGGTAATTGGCTGGTTAGCAAGACTCAATTACTACGACAAAATAACTATAACATAGTATTCACTTAATTGTTTCATTTTCAATCAGATAAGACGCGTAAGGGTGTAAGGGTTTAAGGCAGACCAATGTGGAACTTTTCCTTGCACAGCGAGACTGTAACGTTCTCGATTTCGAACTGTGGTAATTTCATGTTTTCGAATAACATAACCGGATTTTCAGATGCCCATCTCAGCTGCAGTTCATCCGTCGTTTTCGAGACTGAAATCAGATAGAATGGCAAGATGTCAGATTGGCTTATGAGAGCTATAGATCACCACCACCGATACGAATGATAGGTTTTGGCAGTAATAACAAGCTCTTACGTCTAAATTTAAACAACAGGTTTTGCAATAGGCGCATACATGGGCAAATACATAACGCCAATAAAGTGAGAGTGAATTTTTGAGATTTTTTTTGTCCATTCATGCAGCGGGAAAACGTTTGTCTAAATAGAATTATGAGCTTATCAATCCGTAATATGCGACAGTTTCGTATTCGGGGAAGTTTATTCGCGGTGTAATACTACTGGCCGGTTCAGTACTGCGACTTTTATTTTAAGGGTAAGTTGACTGATTGATCGATTATCCTACAATTTACTCGCAGCAATACGTATTACGTGGGATTAGGTGAAGTTACTAGCAAAAAAATCAGACCATTGTTAAACTGTATAAGGTTTCCGAAATTGCCGTGCCTCTCCATGATGTTAACTCCGTTTTACACAAAAAGCTATGACGGTATGTACTTTTAGGAATGAATTATACCGTGCATCGATAAGTTTACTACCCCAACACCAGCTCTATCAGGTTCAGTTTGAAACGCTTGACTGAAACAACTTGAAAGCTAGTTTTCCTATATTCGAATAAGTTCTCAGGATTCTTTACATTCGTAATGAAGTAAGGTCAAAAGACCACTCAACATACCACCGAGTAGGACCCTTCTTTTAAGACACTTTGGAGGATAATCAAGATCAAAGAGTACAGGTCAACTGCCGATTGCGACGAGCTAGAAATAGAACTAAAAACAAGGTCAGCGTGGCAAATGGTGCCATTGCTTAAGGGAAAGTATAAGCAGAATTAGAGGCACCTAAGGTCGCAGTTTAAGGAGGGAAAGCTTTCGCACAGAAGTCAGGTAAAATTGAGATAGCCAACGAGAAAAACTTAGATTTTGACCAAGCGAATCAATCCAGACCTCAGCAAGCATAGTTAGCCTTTAGCAGGCTCACTTATTCCTTCTTAAATGACGAAGGCCCAATAAGGCTTGGCTACTAAGAATTCCTAGATGCTGTTTACTTGTAACTGATCAAAATATACCAAGGCGTACATTTTTATCCATCTCACAATATGCGCATTCTGATTATGAACTAATCTATTCATTGGGTCGTCTCAATATTTCTGCTTTAGTCGGAACCCACATTAAATAGGTGCCCATATGCCAGTCCATTCGCATCGCTTGTTGTAAATGTACCCTTCTTAGGACAAAATATCGTCCTATTCTAGCTCAGTTATTTCATCCGCTAGATTTTACACACACACACACACACACTGTCTATATAATCGCGCTGGACTGAGGACTATCAGTGCTTACATTTTCAGTACAGAGAGGGTTTGCTTGTTGTGCCATCTGAATAAATTACGGCTGGATCGCTCATGCTCTAATTGAATCTGACTAAGCCCTGTTGAATTTGTCCTTGAGCTTAAATCCCTATAGTCCTATAGTTTGATACTATTTGCCGATCGGTTTCCAGAATGTACGCTGGTGTCTTTTTATCGCGGCCTTCATGTTACCAACAACGTTTTGCTTATATCTTCGTTTCCACTGTCTAGACCAATTTGCTTACCCGGGCAATTTTGCCCTGTCCGTACCCTCAGTGTGGAACAAGCTCGCTCGCTCACTCCCGCCTACCCATGTACCACACCTTTGACCTCGAATCTGACTTGTTCAGAAGTTCTTTTTACCCTGCAGAGGTGCTTGTTTAACCTTAAGCACACATCAAAATCTAAAATTGACCCCCCCCCCCCCCCGCCCCCGAACGCGAATCTCGTCGAGCTACTTGCAAAGTGTTGTCAGTCGAGTGTCATACTCAGCAACTAGCTTTGTCGACCTTGTCATTGCAGATTATTTAGACAGAGGATACTGGTAATACTGACCTAACCTCCAAAATGCGGCGTGTGAGAAATTGTACTAGAAGAGCATGAACAAGTGAGCTCGCCTGTCTTGGACCAACGGTTATTATAACAAAGTTTGACATCAGCCGCAGTTCGCAATAAACGCCTTAGTAACTGTAGCTATAGTAAATAATTGAATGTATACATTAAGAAATTTTCTAGCAAAATGTGTTTTCTAGCCTCTTTGCTCTCTAGCTTCGTTGAACACCACTAGACGATTGTCACACATCAACACTACGAAAGATGAAAAAGAACTGCAGGTAGCAAGAAGTAGGCTTTCCCTGAAAATTACTTTTACTTTTTTGGCCACGAAGATGCACTTACATGAGGCAAGTTCAATACTGCACACTTGCGAGTCCATGGGGTACCGGTACAGATCCATCATACAGGAGAACCGTAGCTTTAACCTGCAACAGGTTAAACGAAAACGAACAAAAGAAATAATGTGTACATGACTCCTTTAGTGACTAAAAGTCTTGCAATTTAGGTAAGAATCCTTCCTGGTGTTTTGTGGCATGTACGATTAGCACTATCAATCTGGCCCACCCCCGCAGTGAACTTACTGTATCCTATTGTAAATCGTAGCACAGAGACCTCAGGTCCTCGAATTTAAAGTATATACATATTGTACATTTAAATTACGCATCTGAGTGGTTTATAATAGTCCTTTAGATTTATTCTTATATTATATATCTTTAAAATTGTTCGTTGGAGATGGTTCCTAATATCATAACTAGTGCTTACGATCTTTTATACGCTAATTCATTGGTTCTTTTTTATCTAGTTGGTCGCAGGTTACATCATAAACTGCAGCTTTTGCTTTCAAGTTGAGCATACAAGCCAGGGTGTGATAACTTATCCTTAAGTCGACTCCGATTCGTATCCATGGCTGAGCTGTTTGTTAGCTTGAAAATTAGGTGGTCGGCTGGACTAGGCAAGATCCAATTTTACAGCAAGCTTTGAAACGGCAACATTTGAGAAAAGAATAGTATCTGAACTTGTTTGTTGAATGTGTTTCTTTTCTAGTTGCCACGCCAAATATCTACAACACGATTTGTATAAGTACCATATGCCATAAAGGTCAGTATAGAGATCTTCTATAGATATGCTTCATGTGACGGCACGTACGTACGCACTTGGCCCGTTAGTGGTGAAGTGTTACCATCCACGTGCAGTCTCATCCTGATATTCAAAGACCATATAGTCGAGTGTAGAGCACATTGCATCACACAAAAATCAGGACAGTGTTTCTTCATTTCTCTTCCATTTCAGCTTCACCCTTCCTGCGGTGTATGATGTCCAATGTCCCCTTGCCCCTTCGGCAAAAACGATCGAACCGACGTTGACATCCAACGTCCCAATACTAGTAAACTACCTAACAGATACAGAAAAATAGATATCAAATTTTGCGCTAGAAATGGCTCGAATGGCTCAAACAAGCCCTAATTCTTTTTCTAACAGTCTACCCTCGCTAATTCACTCCCCAGCAGGTGGGTGTTGCTCCGCCTTGTCTTACGATTCGCAGACGCCACCCCTCATAATCTGGACACTCCGTTGACCATTTGAAAGATACGTGAGTGTATAAGTCTGCCAGTATATGTTCATATACGAGTACGTATATATGGTCCAACGGAGTTTCTCTGACCGACACATGGCGAATGCGTTTATACCAGTAATATTAAGGAGACACAACGAATACAAATGGGCAGTCAGCCACGGCAACGCTATAATGACATCCCATGGCTATGGTGGCTTTGGGATATACGGGCATAGGACTTAGACGAGGCCGCCCGACAGACAGAACAGTTTGCCATTATGCACTAGGGCGCCAATAACAAAAGCAAACAAAAGGACAGTACACGACGCCGACGGCCTGAAAGGCCAATAGTCGACCGTCAAGTAGGCCCTACGTTCCTGCCGCCACTTCGATCCGTCAACCTTATTTGGTCGATTTTATATGAATTAATCACACTAAGCGCCATGGCCTTTCACTGTAGCCTCGTTTGACTCCGAATACCGGGGACCGTCGCTCACAATCCTGTTACACACTACGAAATGTAGCGTCTTGCTGCGAGGCATAGACACCGAAAAAGGAGAGAAAAAATGTGCCTAACCCAGGCCTGAAACAAACAAATTAGCCGTCTGTGGTAAATGGCGAAATGTCGGCGGACCCGACGATAGGGTATAAAGGAATACTCTATAAGCTCCTTATCGCCATAATAGGATAGTACGTAGAGCTGAAGACTAAGCCTTGTCGAGGCCTGTTTCTTCCTTCCGCTAAACAATAGAAGAACGTTTATTGCGTGTCGACTGTCGCGTCTTTCTCAATTTCTCACTATTATCTGTTTTCCTCTCCCTTTTTTCGTCGTGACGATACACGAAATACGAAGATAAACAGGGCAACGATAAGGGGCGCGCTACAACGGCAGATATCTTTCTTTAGTGCTGACTGTGACGATGTTAGATGTCTTTTGCCCCTATGTGCGATTCTATCCTTGTTAATGAACTAAGCTTTTATCCTTTGGCTAGTCGGATCTGTAGACGAAGTCCTTCGAGGAGGCACTGAGTTGCCGAATCCTGTTAGCGAAGCGGAAAATTCGTTTTTGAAAAAACAAAAAAGCTTAGAGCCTTAGGATTGACGGGTAGGTGTTAGACACTGGTTACGGTTGACGTGAGCAGAATATATATTCCATTCGCTTTGCTTTTCGTGTAGAGATTTTGTATGCATCTACTTGTAATTTGTTTCATGTATATTCACGCACCGTTCAAGACTTTTTGGGCAGCAGGCTCATTATGTAGTACCTGGATGTATATATATATATATAAGGGTAGACAATGCTTGTTGAAGATGAGTTTAATCTGACTAGGACAATAGGCGATTCTGGCTATTTGTAGATGGCGCTGACGCTTGCAAAATTATTTGCATGATTAGATGCCGTGGCCATCAGGAACGAGGTGAGCTGGCGGGGCCTACTTATATTTGTCGGCATACCGCTGTCTGTTATTCAAAGATCAGTCGAGAGGTGATCTATGAACTATCTGTTATTTTTAGGATCAGTATGGATCAAAACATACATATATGAATGATTCGTAAGATGAAAGGTGTCTTCAGTTTTCATACACATGGCATCGCCTGCTATGGCCGCTTCTCTGTCTTTATTTCTATTTAAATAACTATTTTTCTAACATGGATCAAAGTGATCAAACCAGCGCCATTAGCTTGAATTTATACCAGTTTTAACTATATTGTCTAACTCTTTTATAGTGTAATTAGTTATCAATATATTATGTATAGTATGAATCTTTCTTATTCGATGTGATGTAGTCCGATAGTGATCACATTAAGCCTTTTCATTAAAAGGGACAATTTGCTAAAATAACTTCCTTGCGAAAAAAAATTACTTCCTCGAAGAAGATACTAGCGTAGCTACTGATGTGATTATTTAGAAGACGGTATAAGGACGATTTAGTTAAAACATTAATTCATTTAAGACAGGATCTATATGAATGGATAGGATGAATATGGGGTTTTATGTTGCTTGGGTCTATGACCATGTCACTGTCACAATAAGTACAATTATATCGATTTTAACAAACAATTAGAGTAAACGGTGACGCATCAGACGTTGTTGAGGTTGAGGTTGAGGTTGAGGTACACTAATAAAGTTTTAATAATAGATAAAGTTTAACAAATACCTATTCGACAAATGAAACACACCCTCACAATGCGTCCTCGAAGAATTCCAGAGTTCCTTTCTCATAAAGTTTCTCCAAGGAGCTCTCACATCGGAATATAATGATACTGCATTGTTCGTCATATGGCTGTGATGCAGGAAAATATTAACTGAGTAAAAAATAAGATTTTTAAAAGTGGGCTACAGGAACTTCGAACGCGCAGGTGCTTTATATTTTGGGAAGGATTAATGGCAAGATGCCTAGCTAAGTACATCAGTCTTGATCTCTAAGCGGTCGAATGCTACGATGATGATGATGATGGTGCAAATGTTATTTCAAGGTGCGAAATGCCCCGACTAGCTATGAACTTAAACAAAGTACCCTCTATTCGAAGCTGTATTTGAGATATCACTTGGCAGTAGTAAGGAAGCGTTCATACAGACGAAAACGACAATTGGTGCCTAACTCGCGATCTACAAATGGAAAAAATATTCTATTTCCCTTATCCAAATGAATACACACACAGTTCGTATGCTAAGCCGAAAGTAGCTCGAACATGCCGGGCTCGATATCTACGTTTAAGCTTAAGACAAAGAGTAATTGCTTGAAGATGAAAGAGGGCGGTTCAGTTTGCTGTGGAGTTAAAAGCTTCTGCGACCTAGAAAAGATTGTGGTACTATCTGCCACGTTTGCTATACGATTATTTTCTTTGTCATGTAGAATAAAACAGTTTACGTCTGTAAAAAGCTAGCATGTTCCGTTAGGTTTTTCCGTATCGTTCCATAAAATTGCAGAATATCTATTCGTCACATTAGTCGTTTTATTCGGTTCAAGGTACAGCGTACGCGGCATAATGTACCCGTACTTATCTAATTTGAACTGGGTCGTCTATATATAATGCTGCTATATATATATATATATACGGAAGGGGCTCGTTACTATAGTACGAATGATGAATTGGACCTAGCTCAAGTCGACACGTCAGGCGAGCTTTCTTTAATAATAGGTGCGGATAAACAAACTTTCCAGGGATAGTTGAACCGTTTACTGGAAGGCAGCTTACTATAAGCTTGTTTCGTGTGCTTGTCACGCGACGACATAGCTACAGAAGGGTTCGACGCAAATACTACCAGACTTAAACTTGTTTTCACCGCTTCACGGATACGTAGAAAGTGAAAGTTTAGGAGAAGTTCTAGTGGATTTGGCTGAGGTTGTTGTCTCTGAGGACCAACTTTCGAAATAGGGAAGTCTCTTTGTCGTAGTAGTAAGCAAGTTCTATCAACAACATGATAAAAGTGTATGATTTTTTTTAGCACCTGCATATTACCTGTATATTCATATGTATTTTACGTACTTATAAAGTGAAAGGCTATTTGTGTGCATCCGAAAAGATAGAAACCACGTGTTCTAACTACAAGGAGTTATTATAGAGTTAGTTTTGCAAATACAGCTCAAGTACTGGGCTTCGCATATGAACAGCTTTCATTCTTCAAAGCAACACACTTGTCGATATGATCAAGATTTCTACTATCTTCATCGATTCGGTCTGACATGGACATACAACGCACTTATACAGCCATATTCTACAGACTGGCAGAATCGCGGGAAAAAGTTATATTATGCATTATTAAAAACGTTTTCCCTCCATCATTACAAATAGGATTTCTGTCCCTCACGCCCGCTCATTTCTGTGAAAAGAGCTCGGTAACGAGCCACGGACGACTCATCAACCGCGATCTAACGTAAACAAGTTTCAAGGCTGCGTTTTTCGCAAGCATTTTTAGAACCAATCAATATACAGTAAACAACAACAGAATTGGGTGTATATTTTGCCAACGGGCAGCCTTCTGGCTTAATCAAGAAGTGATAACTGCTACTGCCTACGGAATATAATAACTAATTCAATAAAGCTAGCTATAAATAGAACCAGACTGGGCTAAACAACGGATTAGAAAAATTATTTTGAGGCTTCTGCTACGTAGATCTCAGTTGTTGCTAGGGCATTTTAGGCGAAATTAATCAAGTAAATCTAATGTGCAGAAATGTATTGTTAGAAGCATCGAATTTGCGATAGTCTGCTGCGCTATTACTTTTTTCTGAAGGTTTGTTTTTTTTTTTTGAATTTAACATATACATAAATATATTTGTCGTTAAATCAACTTAAAAATTGTCGTCGTTGAACTCCCTCTTCGCAAGGCTCCGTAGTGTGAAAGACAAAAACGTTATTGTTGATCTAGGTACAGGCGCCGCTGTCAGAAGACATTAAGAGTAATATGACTTGGCATTGGAAAGAATTACGTCGTAGCCACAAAATCGATTCTCGCACATCTAATGGCCTGTAAGTTCATATATCCGGCTTCAGTCTCTCCCAACAGTTCAAGTTGGACTTCCCGGGGAAGCGCCTGCACTACGTCATAAAGGCGACTTGTATAGGTGATGCCCTGTTCAAATACATATATAACTTGTTGGGTTTGACAGATAACTTAAACAGATAGTTAGGTTCCAAGAAATCCGTTGTATAGGTAGTGCAGAAACCGTTCGTGCATAAGGCTAGAGATATAAAGGACAAAAAAAGAAGAACAAGATGTTTGAGTGCTCGAATTGATTAGTTAGGATACCCGTTATTGTAAAGTGATTGTTATCTAGTAATATGCAATATATTAGTTAGTGCGTTATATATGACAAAGCTAAAATACATTATTGTACAGTAGAAAAATATTGCACTTAATTGTCACTGTTAACTAGAAGGTTAGGGTTACTTTCAATGTGAGAAGCTTCGTGTACGATCTACTCTATGGTGATAGCGTAAAAACTTAAGAAAACTCTTCAGCAAAGAAACAGGATAATATCTAAGTAACCTTAGCCACCGTTCTTCATGTGCGAATTGACACTATATATATATATATATATATATATATATATATTTGTAGATCTTTTTTGGACGATATGGGCGTTGTTTTCTTGCCTTCTTTATATACAGACATTATATGGGCGTGCTTTTAGCATCGTGGTATGAGAGTCGTTTTTTTCGCGTCTAGAATGACCCAACTTATATAACCAAGCTCACGACAGCAAGGATTAGCTTGTTTTTTTCCGTTGCCTATGGCTGAATCGACCAATTTCGTTTTGCTGGAACTTCTTAGTGCCACTATGTCTGTAAAGGCCAAACTGCCTGCAAACGTCAATATAATTTTTGCATATTGATCCTACCCAGTTATATACTGACCAGTCTTTTGAACAAACGGCTACGATATTATTTCCGTGCGACGAACTAGCTAAGCAGTCAACATTGCTTTCGGTCAGGCTTCGTTAAGCTTGCTCATCAAACGTATGAATCTGAATGTGGCAATTGGCCTATATATTTATGCTTAGAAGATATCGTTAAGCTATAAACTACAAACCTCAAAAGCACACATAAATATTCTATAAAAACAGGACTAATTGAGAAGCACGTATTCCTAATAACGTAGTTGTTTTGTAACATGTACTTATCAGTATTATCTTATGAAAAATCAACGTCTCTGTGCTCTAAATGGCAGTCCTAGCTGGTCGTTAATTATATGACATTGGTGTGATTGCGCCATACGACTCCGTGTGGGGGCATCGTGTTAAACTGCTAACAGGGCAACGAACGCCATTCATTGAAAACAATAGAAACATATACGACTATGATGTACAAAGTCATTTTCACCCCACATTCAATAGACATTTCTTCTAAAAGCATCATCGGCGCATGTTTATAATTGAAGCCATTATTCTGCAAAGAACATCTGGAGAGCACTTGTACAATCTGAAGCTGCTTGATACCGTCAGAGACAGACCGAGGTAAGGAAGCACCTGTATGCGATTTTAGACGTGTGCGCGGTGTTTGTACGATCGACCCCCCACACGTAAATCACTATTGCGGTTCTATCATGGAGAGCGCATAGTTTGCTGCTTAAATTTTCCTATTTAATATTGAGATACTAATCTATAATGAGCAAGTTATTTTATAGGAATGAGTTCTTAGATAGATTATAATTTTTCTGAGCGCGTTTTTTAATCTGTTTTCGACTTCGATCAGAAAAATGAGGCGTTCATGCTAGATAAACTTAATGCACTTATGTTACATTGACAATTTTGTTCATAATAATGTCGATTTTTTAAATAATAATACCTACCTATGAAAAGAAATAAATATCCTATTGCTGAAAGGCATCTGTGCGTGTAAGTTAATCCGTTGTTACCCCATTCTTTGTCTAACAATAATATGCTTACGGAATTCCTCAGATGGCAGCTGCATTGTCCGAAGCCCACACGAAAAAGTAAGGCCCAACTCTATTAAAATCCTTTCAAATAAAATTGATGAGCTTTTCCTTTGTTAACATATCTTGTAGTGCTCGATACGATGGTTAATGCTTTAGCTATTGCATTACTAGTTCTATTTTGAATTTTTTGAGTAGGCCCCATGAAATCGTACTCAGGAAACCATGTGTCTATATGGCGTCTTTCCTGCTTCCAATGTGATTTGTTCATGTGTTCCAATAGAAGATATGTACAATGAGAGAGACCACTATACGCTGTGGTTTATTGACCCAAAAAATATAATAAAAAATAACTAAAAATGGGTTCCGAGAGATAGCAGGAAGGCTTGCAACGAGACGATCAATGGATCACCATCGTAACATCAAATTGTATCGATAACGTATTGATTGTCATTGCTTGTAAGCACAAATCCGCCTTAAGGACAAGAGATTTGCAGGCTTTGGTTTTACCCATGCACATGCAGACCAAAGACGGAACGATCTGTATAGGGTAGCAAACGAAGCTATTTGAGCTTGTTTACTTGACTATGCTAACAGAGACGATCCTTTTCGTATTTTGGTGTACAGGCGCCACGTCCACAAGAGAACATGTACCATTTGATCGTAATTGAAAGGATCAGCTGCATCATACCAATGTACGCCTTAATTGTAATTAAAGATGCCAAAAATCAAAACGTATGTGGAGTTAACAAACGTACCCGTAATACGATGTTAGGAATCAAGGTTTTCGTACGCTGCGTTTTCTTTTACAAATAACCCCATTCTTTCTGCCGAACGAAACATGCGATATACGAAAGACTGATTGCTAACATTTTGTTAGCGATATTTTTTAAGAAACATCAATGCTAATAGATTGCACTTTAATTTAATATTCAAGAGAGTTTCCATACTTTCTACTGGCATGGTAGTTTTAATAAATTATTAGTGTTTACAAGTAAGATCGATCAGCATTTGTACATTGTCTGTCTAATCGTTGCGATGTTTATATAAAGACCTGGCTCAGGGGGTCAGACCAGTTAAAAGCTTCCAAGATTGTACAGTATCAGGATAGAGAAAGAACTCTTTGGGACATCTCTATAGGGCAATACCTGAAGGCTTATATCCAGCCGTCATTCATGGCGTCGAGCAGTTTGAGCAAATAGAGAATGCCTTGGCAGGTCGTGATAGCACTCATTTCGTGCTTTAGACGTTAGCTTTACTTACGCTAAAGGATCTTCCACACCAGATTTCTTTCTACCCGTAAAGGATGTTTGATGGCAGTTCCAGCATTATCTTCACGATGCATTCGATGGACTCCTTTGAAAACCAGACATAACTAGTTCTATGTTCATCATGTACCCGGCTCTAACTCTTCTATACCAATGCAGTTGACCGGTGCATGCTACAACCAGCATAGGGGAAGCGTATATTCTCCGGTTAATCCGTAAAACGCTTAGTTCTCTCCTCCGCTAGTCCCATGTTCGATGATCCGGCCCCTGGGGAAAAACTGGGCTTGACTTCGAGTAAGCTACGAAGGTAAAAATTGGTCCGCTTTGCCCTTCGCAGGAACCCAAGACTAAAAGGTATCCTTGGCGATCCAATACAATATTTCGTCGTCTGGAGAGCCGTATCTGTTATCAGCAATTCACTAGACACAGATGTTTATGGCAATTTAGGCAAGCCGGAAAGATATATGTACGCCAATGAAGTCTGACACAAGCATAGGATTATTTGTAAGCCTGCGTTGTTTCACGGGCGCGGGCTCCGCTACCGGTTCGATTACCATATACATATGCATAACATACAATAATATGCTAATCACTGCCATTAATAAGAGCGGAAATGACTGACTAACCTTAGCATGTAGAGTATTTCACCTGTAGGTTTGATACGGACCAACACATTGGGTACTGTGACAAACTGGAACTCAGCATGCTTCGCATTAGCAAAAAACACTTCCGGCTTCCAGATGCGTTGTACCAGCTTCGGATCGTTAAGATCGAGCGCCCGGGAAAAAGCATTTTTTGCGAAGCGGTCATCTTGCCAACCTTGACGTAGATATAGATCTACCTCGTAGTCCTGTAGCGAGAAAAAAATCTACGTCACTTATAGCGACAAGCAATTATTAAGTTCCTAGTTTACGAACAAAAGTTAGTATCCAACATAACGTAAAAGTAACGACTTCGTGCGAGAAACAGCTTTAACGTTACCAATATATAACGAACTACGCAACGACTCCTTGATCACTCACAACAGCTATTGATCACAGCAGCATGAAAAGTAACCAGCATTCCCTGCATTACCTGTATACACAGGGTAAATAAATTGATGTTACCACATAATGCGATGAACAGAAAACGCACGGAAAATTACCCTCCGCCGATCCACATGCGCAATATACCGCAGTGCTATGGCATCATTTTGGTGGATGCTTTCTTCAGAAAAAACACACCTGGATAAACACCTTGGGAGAATTGTTTCACATTATTTTATATAGTATTGTTTTATTCTGACTAGATGCGACACTAGTTCAATCATCTCTTCCATCCACCACCACCATACGTTCCATCATCTTATCTAAAGGAGCTTCGTTCTAGGATCAGCAGATATAATTTGGTTGAAAAATAACTATCTCAAGCTCTTTTAGAACCACTAATTATTTTATTTGCAAGAAGTAGATGTATGTCCCGTTCGGCTAAATAATCTACCGATATGGTACGGCGTGAAGAAGTTCGAGAAAAAAACTCAAACCGAGGGGATTTATGCGGTGGACAATATAGTGATTTATTTTCGCAGTAATCGTGCCTTTACTGCCATTAGTCTTCAACCGACATTAGAACCATAAACGATTCTACCAATAGAGCGGAAACAAAGCAACCGAAGATTTAACTTAAACTTTTATGATCTGTTAGAGTGTTCTGATGAGCTGTCGTCAAGCGATCTAAGGAGCTCATTTTGCGTAGATATTAATTACAAAATGTTACAATACTAGCTCGATTTCTTAAGGAGTGAGTCGAACTTTCCAAATGAAATAGCCGCGGACAATTTCAACACAAATATACTATATATCTCACAATATTTCCATTTGGAAGACCACTGTTGTACTTGAAGTGAAGGGCGTAATACTTCGGGTGGCAGCAATACCTATTTCTTCTCAACAGTGAAAACGCGATGCTCTATTCCTGAGTGGTCATATAGGTTCTGCCCGTAAAAATACAAACGTGAAATACGGTGGAAATAATGCCTTTTGAGATTATAAAAACCACCGGCCTCAAGTGTACTGCATCGGCCAAGTTTTTTTTGCCAATCTAGCAGTTATGTTTGCACTATGCATAGCTGAAGATACTTGTGGGCAGTTATCCTTTTTTTCATACTTCGGGAGTATTCCTCCAACAAGTTGAAAATATCAATGAAAAGAGTGGGGGGGGGACTATCACTCAACTTATTGATCCACAAAAACGAAGAAACGTTCACTTGCATTCGTTTAATTGCGAATGGCTGAAAATTTGACTTTTCGCTTTGTTTCCATTTTTGTCGATATTACACAAATAGCATTTGGCAAGACCAATCAGGAAGAATGCCATTTTCAGGGAATCCGCATTTTGCCCATTTGTCGAGGATTTTCTAGGAAGATTTCTTGGAACGAGTAAATTCATGCATATGACGTCATCATTGACTTCGTCCCTGTTATTGGTACAGCATTGGCCGATCATTAAACTGCTCGAGATGATTGATCTGAGGTACTTCCTCAAATTTCAACGATTCTCACGTGGCCATATTTTTCTCGTAAGTATAGTAGAAAAGAATAGTCCCAGCTGTTTACCAACTGCTCTCAGTGTCTCAAGACTAGAAAGAGAGGTACGTAAAATCTTTGGCGATGCCCTCGAAAATGATCTTATAACTTTAGCTTGAAGCTTCCCTATGTCGAACATCTTGGCGCAAAACAAAGCTCAACTGTTATAGTTCTTTTGAGTGTGTGCTTTTAGAGTAGCCCAAAATAGTTGGTTTGTCAGAAGAAAAAAACGCCAATAGCCGTTACAGCAAAAAAACTTAAAGTGAAATAAAGTAAACTTTATTATCGTGGGCTTAGATCCCTATAGTAATCAACGATGGGTCTTGCCTTTTGGTCTGCTAGAGGCTAGCCTGATCACTCATTTCAGCCTGATTTGCGAGTATATACGGTATATTTCAGTAGCTGAGCCTTTTACAAAACGATTTTGTGACAGCAAAAATCGATAATGATTAATGTAGATAATAAATGGCTGGGATAGCAGCAAACAGCATTTCTCCACAGATTCTATCTAGTTTTAGCTTTGACTTAGTAGAGGATAATAATGTCAAAAAAGCTAACCGCACACATCTGTTGAATCACAGGCTTATGTTATACCATTGCTTCTACCTCGGATTTAGTAACTGCATATAAGAAACCGAAGGTGGCTGTTTGGGGATGAAGTCTAGAGAAAATCTACTTTCTATTAGTTCAAGTGTCCGCCCTTGAAGAGCCCTGCCTAATTTTACAAATGTTTGCACTGGAAGTATCCGATCTAGCTCCTTGTTATTCTTATACCAGCTTAAAGCAAGAACTTCGTCTTTGAAAATATCTTCGAGGTACACTTGCCTGCTTACTAATATCCTTCGCAGTTGCGGGAGTTTTCGCGAATGGGTGTTGCGTATCATAAACCTAACCTAACATAGTTTTTAAGTATTCGTACAATGTTCTGAACTTCTTAAGCTTAAGTACTCGTTTGGCTGTCGTAAAGGATAAAAAGGATTGTAACGAAGCGACAACAAATCATGTTTGGTACATTATGTAGAGGGTTCAAAATAGACTCGCTCGTACATTATCACTGCAACATATATTGACCAATCAGACAGATACGACCTAAGGCCAGTTGTCCTAATTTTCGACTCTAATCGCAGCATTCAGTCAGTCCACGTTTGGGAAAATCGCTTCGTAATCTCAGGCAGTACGCGTCACTGAATCGTCGTTTCCGATTCATTTAAGTTACGAAAGTCGTCGCGTTAACTTGATATGACTGCTAATAAGCTCGACGTTGCTCAAAGTTAGCATTTAGGTCGACCTGCAATCTGGGCACGTCAGCGAAATGAATGTTACTTCTCAGGCTCAGTAGAACGATTCATTGAGATACGGTGTTGTCGTCTCAGGCAGGCAGGCAGGCAGGCAGGCAGAAAGCAGCGTTTTTTTTTACCTTTCATATACCCCGTGGCATCTAACCCCATCATACCGCATGGCTTAAGCTTCTTTGAAGGCTTTGTTGCATAGTCGCTTTATTCTTCCGACTACTCATATGCTATAACTACGGTACTTAGAAAAGATTTTTGTCCTCAGTCGGACTTAGTTTTATTTAGTAGCTCTATCTGACAAAGTAATTTACTTTGTAAAACTTAGATAGTTTTGCTGGCGCTGCCTCAGGTTTTATCAGGGCCAGCGTGAGCTTCCCTTAGTGGTCATTTGTCAAAGCCAACCCCAACAGCTAACGACTACCGCTTTATCATCTATAAGGCAACGGTAACCTGCATTACTTGTTTTAAATGTGTCGAAAAGGCTTTATTATTACTAATTATAGTACGTCTGATCACGTGCAGCACGTACCTGTACATGCCTCCATGGCTCTAACCATTTTTAACGTTCAGATGTCAATGAGCTCGTATCGACAATCTATTTTCGGCGCAGGGCAGTACGTGAGGATAAAGCTCTAAAGACAAGTTCACCACTTTTCCCATCGATAACTAGCTAAAGGGATCATTTGCTGGAATTATTACGGTAGGGCCTACAATATTGTGGCAGTAAAAATAACAGGTTGATATAAAAAAAAATAGGTTAATAGTATCAAATACGTCCAAAAGAACTAGCAAGCCCTTTTTGTGAACATTTGCTTCTATATGAATTATTTTTCCCAGTGAAACCAATGTCTATTAGCAGATATTAGAATGCCGATCATGATGGGCATTACTCTAAATGAATTTGATCGTGCAAATACGTACCAGATCTAATCTCATCTTTTACGGCAATATAGCAAAAACGATCCGGTCAGCAGACAAGATTTGAAATCTAATGTACAGGGTATCTATCTGTCGACTATAAGTAACAAAATCACTCAGCCGTAAAAGCTTTCTTCCGGTCTATTATGTTAATTACTGCGTAGCAAAAATCAATTCTTCGCATGTATATATTCGGAGAGATTATATATCGGTACTGCCGACAATCGAGCTTAATGCTAACTCTAATAGTATTACTACAAAGAAACAAGGACGTTTACGTGTACTATATTTGACGTAAGCGAAATACGTAGCGCGCTCGTCCACCTATTGGTCTTGGGCATAAAAAATTGTCCCTACACTAATAATAAACTAAGCCAGATTGCATCGACAAGTAACATGTCCGTAAGTATCGGCGGCATATTGTTTGTCACCTCGATTCTGAAGACCACGCTCAATTTATATGGCCCAAACATAAATAGGAGACCATGAATTAAAGCTATTAAGCCCCATAAGCAATAGGGAGGCTCAGGCTATGCCCTTCTTTTTGGACAAGTGTGCTATAGTCTACCTATCATTTGTTCGCCGAACAGCGGATAGCAGTCGTTGATTCTCTAACAGGAAAAGTATTGAAAATGATAGATTCGATCAATCATGTGGATGTGGTGCTGCTCTACGCTGTCAGTTTAGGCCCACAATTTAGCCTTTTCTGTAGGACACCATTGAATAATGTACTTGAACGCGTCACGTTCCCAGACAAGTGATTACAGCCGAATGTGTAAATACTATCTCGACCCACCACCATGATCTTGAAAAAGAGAAGATAAACGCTAAATACGCTTCTAACTAGCTTATTTGACCTACCGATTTTTTAGTCGTCTTATTATGTTATGAGATCAATCCTATTGGACGGACACAGGCGATAACGGAATAAGTATCGCGACTAGCACATGGAAAGGGGCCTAGCGTTCGTTAAGGGGGTAAATGAAGGCTACAAAAACAAAATCGTTTATTTTTATTTCCCTTGCCTTTGGAGTGATCCATTACGTACAGCCCCCCTTCAGATTTTACTTTTGTTCAAACTAATCACTTACCATATTGGATGGATCAATTGAACCAAAGCTTCGGATGAAAATTTCGCTAGTTACTATTGTCGGTTCGCCTGAAACGTCAGTAAAAAGAAAAAGCGTTCAGCGTTAAAAAAAAAAATCATGAAACCCAATGAAGATGTCTTCCCGAATATATTCGCTGTCTTTTAGCTTGCTTTGATATGTATTGTATAAAAAAAAATAGCCATCCAATGGATAAAGTTCATCTCGTATGTATTGTACACCACATAGGTCTACACCAATACTTTCATATTTCACCTTCGTTTTGGAATAGCTACATACGAGTATGTTAAAAAGCTCATCTTTCCTCAAGGCGCATCACTGTCGCGGCATGAACTTCACAGTTGAAGCTCTTGAGGATAGTGTTTAGTTCCATGAATGAACAGGTAGTAGGATGACGCTACGGAGAGTTTTGACAGGTCATTGACACATTTTCGCTTTTAAACATAACGCGTTAGTAAGGCAAAAACAGGTTGCTAGAACCCTGTTTTTTAAGTCCATATTGTTTTTGAATTAGCGGACTGTTACTTTGATCTGCAGTAGCTATCGATAGTTCACAGCAATGACATGTGAAATTAAGAAGAGACATGGCGAGTTCGCTCAGGAAGTGCCTCAAGGTTTACCTCAAACCTAAGCAACTCTCTAGATCTGCTCTAGCTTTGTTAACCTATGCGTGGGTTACCTATAGTACGATCTACACTCAGGTCATTCGAAGATTTACGTTAATCTCACCGTTTCACACCACTAGCGTGGCTATTCAGTTTCAATGAGCAAGAAGACCCAGTTTGGTACCTTTAACTCAAAATCTCGATTGCCTCAGACGGTCAGAAGCAGCCAAACCCATTTAAACAAAGTACATTAGGGCAGGATGTCTGAAAATTAAGTTGTTAATGGAAGTCTAGGTTTCCATGTAAAGATGGAATATTTACTTACCCAGATGGCTTGTGGGTAGCGCTCGGCGATCGTAATTTCTTAGTAGCTCGTCGAGGGCGTCAAGGTCTTTAATTGTCGAGTTTGCCTGTCTCTTGTTAGCCGGTGTCGAATCGTAGCTGAAATAAGACATGCGACAAAGATTACGAACAAAAGAGAACCGTACGTACATTATTGATTAGGTTGGGCCTATGTAGGTATTGGTGCAAGCTACCGTTATTGAAACCGACTTATTTGGAAGAATACCTATCTTGAGTGAGGGGTAGCCTAAACAGCGTAGGGCTAGGGGGCATTTGATCTTGATTATGAACGCCTATTCGCGATATCCGCAGCAAAGAGATATTTTAAAGGTTTTTATAGGGAGCCTCTTGAGCCATGTTTAGAAGTGTTCACTGCAAATTATTGGATGATTTTGGCAAGTTGTGTCTGACCAGCTACCCATAGCTGTTCAGTAGGGCTGCTGAGTTCCAACGGACCGAAATGTATCCGCGTGACAAGCTAAAATGATTAAACCAATCAAGTGTGGTTAACTAATAAACCGACAAGCAAAGGTAAGTTTAATCGTAATTCACGTATTAGATAATGCCGGCCGAAAAAAAGCTCTAGAGAGATTAAACTGTCAAGGGATTGGCACTTATACACGTTGATCGATGACTGAAAATCAAGCCAGCGCCTTGTCTGTCTATTACAAAGTTTAGCTACGACGCATCGTTCAAGCTCTCAGAATTCTCTACATGTAAGAACGTATACAAATTAATTAAAAAAAAAAAAAAAAAAAGACTAAATTCCTGTTATTCTGCTCTTGCCAATATAGATCCAGCTGATCTTATTCACTGGTTACCGTTATATCTTGCCAAACATACCACACAGGTCTAGCTTTTAACATAATTTCCGCCATATTTTCGCGTCTACCTAAGCACCCATCTAAGCTATTTGATCAATATTTTCGGCCGTCGTATTCACTGCAGTCCGAGGCTCAAATATGTGCACAATCTGCAGGAATTTTTAAGCAGGCAATTAGAAAGCAATATAAGGCTCTCTCGGTAAGCTCCTAAATTATAATTCGTTGCATGGTATTTGTAGTTAACAGGCGAGGAGGCTTGACCTTTTTTCTTTGGGAAGCGCATTGATCTGTAATAATTACGGTATAAATAGGAAAGACGCATACTATCGTGGGCACGTTTACTAGTTGCGAGTAAATAGTGGAGAGGTCCAAACCCAGCCCGGTTATTACTATCAGATTCAAAAAAAAAAACAAGTAGCGGAGAGCGAATGCTGAAAGCTTCTTCGTATTGAAAAAAATCTCTTCCAACAAGTTGCTAGTTAGGGTGCCAAGACTGTTCATGTTGGCTATTTGAATACGAATTATTTTATTCGCAGTGTCACTGCCATGAGTTTTGTAATAAATGAAGTCTAATAGACCTATATAGTATGCCGAGTAGTATATAAAATCGCTTGGGTCGTTATCTGCTTAAGTTACTGGGGTTCGATCAAGCCCAGATCATTGGCAAGAAATGTTAAACTAAGGACCACTTCGAGGCCTGCGAACAGATCAAATAAAGGGTTTGTTGTGCAAGTATTTCAGAGTGGCGAAAATGTACTCAGATTGGTCCCCACAGGCAAAACGCCATTTTCAGTAGTCATATCTAGATAAAGTAAACAGGGCCGAACGGCCATCTTGCCCGAGTATTACGAAATATGCATACAAAGGCATATAACTACTACACTACGTGATACACAAGTAGAAAAAAAGCAAACTGATACTGTATTTAGTAAAAAAAAAAAAAAAAAAAGTACAATACCCCAAACCTTCTGACCGGTAAAAGTAACCGATAAACTTCGCTTGAGAACTCAGGCTGACATTTGTAGTTGAAATTGCGCGCATTTTCCTAGACTGCAGATTCTATCGCCTAGAACGTATGGGCTTGTGCCCATAGTTAAGATTAAAAGATAACGATGCTTACCCCAGATGTTGGCTAAACTGAGAAAGTGCCGAATGCTTGTGGGAATACTCTTCTGCTGCTGTAGTAATATTCATCTCATTTTGAAACTGTGGTTTTTTCTAGGTTAAATTTACATGGTTTTTACATCTTAAAATTATTCGATCGGCCATCATCGATTTTATCTAACTATATAACTTACTTATAATTAAAAATATTGGACAATGTCTAGAATATGGTCATTAGGATATATTTAGCTTAGTCCTATAATATGAGCGAACCATCGTAAGGTGTATCTTTACAGGGATTAAACGAAATTTACGGTTTGCTACTATATTGTATGAAAAATAATTTCGGGTAGAATAAAAAAAATAATTCCCTGTGCACGTACGGTATATTGTTTGTCAAACAAAAAAATTTTTCACTACGATGATTTTTTTCGATATATGTGTATAATTACCTGTTGATTAAATAAAACACTGAAAATGGAAATATTACGGTGGCTTGCAATCTATAAATTTATTTAATTCAATCGAACTATAATATCTCTTGCTATTTGGAACTTAAGCATAGACGAGTCCATGCGCCCAGACAAACTATTTAATTACTTAGGCATGTCATGGTCAACTTGTCATTATACTTATTTAGCGAAAGTTTTTTGCCCAGAATACAAATATGATTCAGCTCATAACGTCCGGATGTACAACTGCAATATCCATTGAGTATATATAGGTGCATGCCGTTGAGAACACAGTGTTAGTTTAATACACCAATCGAGATATGGGAAAGCGTGCCTGTTGCCCTGTTATCTGTTGATTATATGTACAGACGCGCCGAAAAGGCCCGAAAAGTTCTATCAGCTCATGTCGTAAATCCAGCCCACAGAAAATGATTATTTGGGGGGACAGTGCAAAAAAGTTTATCAAAAGGGTAAGAGCAGCAGCAGCAGCAGCAAGAGACTTTCCCTTTCAGAGTATTTAAAGAACGAACATGTTCATCGCCCATGTTGGCTGGTTTCTCATTGGAAGCATGTAACTTCTGGTATTACGGTTGTGTAGACTATTTACTCTAGACAAGTTATCCAATAAATCAAATTTTACAAACGCCAAGGACATCGGCTGGAAGCAGCATTTCATGTAAGAGTGTGCCATCATTTCGATGGATTCAATTTTTGTGTATGGACTTTTGCGTTCACATTGAACGATTATAACAAGAAGGCGATATGATTTATAAATAGCAAATCTAAGGAGGGCGGCGCCTCGAAGCTATCTCATATGCTTCCATTCGATTTTAAGATAATGCCTACTTATCGGAAATATCCTAGGAGCATCCTTGACAGCTATCCTATTCATTGCAGAATAAAGATCCCTCTGCGTGTCCTGATAGCAATAATTAGTAACGAATTTCGGAGTACCCAGCGAGAATGTTGAGTAGTGTGACTGTATTCGTTCATCTACAACCAAATCGGGTATTGCACATAATAGCCCTATACGCGAAGCAGCATACAAGCTCTGAGTACGTGATAGATCGTTTGCCGGCACACATGGTGGGACGAATTAAAGTCATAGATCGGTCATAGCATCTAGTTAGATTGCCGTCGTTTAACCTCATTGCCAAGCAAATATGGTAAGGAACTGTCGTCTTAGATAATGCAAAACTACGCAACGTCAGCTGATTGCGATTTTTCCCTTCAGTGTTTTCCTCGTTTATTTTTGTAAGACCTCGTCGTAAAATCAGAACGTCCGAGCAGCTTCGTCTTTCGATAACTGCCTTTTATAGAATGGAGCGCGATATTCGTTACAAGTCCTGTTGAAACAGCTTATCTTTTTAAACACTTAACGCTTTGTTTCCATAGTGTTGAGTGCAGGTTTCCAAAGGACTCGTCAAAGCTAGACGTATATATGCCTACATGTAGAGTGGATGACGCGAACTTCGGATGCTGGTAACGAGGCCGTTTTCATGGCAGCCTTTTTCTCCTTCTTGGACTTCATCAGCACAGGGTACTGTTGACGCCTGCAGCCATCACAAATAGCCAGCTGGTTACATCAATGAAGCCGGTGAGTTCTATCGTTTATCACTTATATGCGGTATCAGGGGGTGCAGACACACTTGAAGTGTTCGCTCGTTTCGACGTGATAGCTATTTCGACGTATGATAGAAATTTGATGTCGTTTTAAGCTCAAACAGAAGCGTTGTATCGAACAGAGAGTATGGCAGAAGTCAGTTTGAGCGAAACTGTCTTTGGTAGCTATTGTGAAGGTGTAGTTTCATACAAGTACAAGGGAGATTTGGATCAATACTGTTAGAGATGGAAGCAGTGCATACGGGTCACGTTTCTGCAGATATATTTTCATATCTATGGGTCGTGCTTGCGGGCGTAGTATAGGGCCCATAATTCCACAGTAGCCACTCTGGGCCTGATGGGAATAAAAGATTAGTATATAAGGAAACCAAGGTTGGTGGAAATCGATTTTGGTGACTGCTATATATTCGAGTTTTTCACAAAACGATGACAGTGAATCGTTATAGAAAATTCAATACTATACAAATAAAACGTCAATTCTTTCAGTGCACTGGAAACCGTGGGACACAGCAGATATCGAACATGCGACAGCAACAGAGAAGTTTTTGCCCTTCATATATATTCGTACATAACTAGTTAATGTTTATTACTAGTCTAGAAGTTAGACACTTAGCTCGTTCTGAAAGCTACGAGCCGGACGAAACGCCGGACCACATATTCTTGCTTCACGTTGTTCCCCAGATAGGGGTTGAAAGTAGCCCGGAAAAGGTTTTCCTGTCAACGCTCAACTAGCGCACTCTTGAACCTACTTTTTTGCTTGTTGTACCAAATTGATACGGGCTGCCCTAGGAATCACTTGCCTCCTCAAGATAAGAAACAATTATTGTCACTCATTGTTCTATACCAATTTGTTCAATGCTGCCAAAAACTTAAGGTGCTGGACAATCGTCAGCCTTCCGCCAATTTTCAAACACTTTCTATCTAGTTCAGTCTCGCTAATTGATTGACAATGAATGCGTCGGAATAATAGTAGGGATACAGGTCTGCGTCTAGATTGACTCGATTAAAGGAACGAAGTATTTTCTAGTCGCGTTAATTTTACAAATGACTGCGAAGCTCAACGAAAAAAAAAAAAAAAAAAACAGTTATCGTAGTC